CACAGTATTATTTTAAAAAAAGAAAAAAGCCAGGAGGCGACGGGATAGCTTGCAGTGGCTGCCAGGCTGAATGCCCGCTGAGGGCTCGGCAGAGGGTGTCTTACGCTCTCTTCCTCTCTGCCCCCGAGTGTGTGTCTGGAGGGCGAGTGGCGGTAGAGTCCTTGCTTGTGGCCGCAGAACACCGAGGAGCTGACGGGCCAGCCTGGAGGGCGGAGCTGATTTCATTTGTGCTAACTGGCCCGGGCGTGGACTGGAGCTTTCACACATGTGATATCTTGGCCATAAATTAGGCAGCTGGGTACAGGGCTGAATTAATTTGAAGACAAGTTAATTTCATTGCCAAGAATCCTGCTGTTCAGACTTAAAATTACATATTGGGGTCATAGGGGTCACAGTTCCAACAAGAAAAATAATCATGAAATAATCATGAACATAGATCTTTTTTTTTTTTTTTGGCCAGGCACTATTTTAAGCCTTCATGTGCTGATAATATTTAATTACTGTTAACAGCACAGTGAGGCAGGAGCGTGTCCCATTTTACCACTCAGGAAACCCAGGCCCAAGGGAGGTGACAGTTTTGTCAAAGGTCACTCTGTTTGCAGTAGTTCACCTTCGGGTGGTGCTTGGGGTTGCAGAATGTTTCAGCTCGTTTGATCTTTCCAGCTACCCTGAGAGGGTAGAGCTGCTGCTATCCCCTGAATGGAACAAGGAAATCGAGGCTCCCGGAAGTGAAGCCCCTTCTTCATGCTGACGTGGCCAGTTAGTGTCCCAGCTCTGGTGGAGACCCGGTCTCTGACATCCTGGCCAGTGTCCACACCAGGCTGCATCCCAGGTCGTGCGCAGGAAAACTAAACATAGACTGAATGGGACTCCCACGACCTCTCCAGTCCAAACTGGAAGGCTGTTGTGGCTGTAGCAGGGAGCCCAGCAAAGGGCAGAGAGCCACGTACCAACGGGCCCGTGAGCCAGGTCAGCAGGCACCGAACAGGGCTGTGTCCATTGTGTGGAAGGACTTAGAGGTGTGCCAGTCCTTCCCCGAGCCCGCCTTCCTCCCTGCAGAGGCTGGAGGGCCGCTGTCTTTGCGTCTCACCGCACAGGAGTTCCCCGTCACTGCCCCTCCTGCTGGGATCCCCTGCCAGTGCTGTCTTACAGCTGCTGGCTCTCAGCCCCTCAGCCAGCCTCTTTGGGGCATCCGCTCTTTAGAAAATTGCTCCCTACATCTGTTTATTTTGAAACTAGATTCTTGATTTCCTTCCTTCCTTCTCCCCTTCCTTCTTTCCTGCTTCCACCTGTCACCTAACTCCCACTTATCCTTAGAGGTGTCTCCTCAGGGAATCTTCCTGGATGTACCAGACTCAGGTGGCAGGAAGGCAACCTCGTGACAATTTTCACTCCACTTAGCTTACACAAGTGTCGTGTTGGTAATGTAGACTCTGTGGTTTCCTAGTGAAAAAGACGAGTAATAACTACAGCCAACACTTACCCAGAGCCCCTTAGGCCAGGCATTGTTCTGAGTGCTTTAGATTCATGTTGCCACAGTGGTCCCAGACAGGCCCAGTGAGAGCAGATTCCTTATTCCCATTTTATAGACGAGGAAGTTTGAGGTCCAGATAGGTTAGGTGAATGTCCCCAGGGTCACATCACACAGTTGATGTGAAGCATTAGGGTAGCCCTCACCCCTGCACTGTTCTGGGGGTGCTGACTGTGTCAGGCACTGTTCCAGGGCTTTCTCGATTCGCGTAGTCCTCACGGCGCTAAATGAAGTCTGATGCGTCCCTGTGCCAAGCCTTTTGGCCATCACCGTAAGAGGCCTGGGCTGGAGTGGAACCAAGATCTGTTTGGTTCCTGAGCCCATGCTCCAGCTGTCTGCTTGACTTTGCTGTCTTTGACTTTCAGTCTCGTAGACTGCCTACTCTGCTTTGTTAAGACTGTAAGCCCCTTGAGAGCAGGGTCTGGGTTTAGTTGTCCTTCCCCCCTTGCCTGGTAACGGCCCGGGTTGTGGTGGCTACTCAAGGAAAGTGCTCATAGTGAGTGACTGAGGCAATAAGATGGGTTAGGTGTCTGGGTGAAATGCATAAGCCTTGTTGACAGAACATGAGGTCTGCCAAAAGTGAGATAAAGAAGGGACAAAGAATTTCCTCATTTTTAAAAGTATATAATAAACATTACGCTCCATCAGTAAAATCTTGCCATCCAAGGAAAAGATGGATGAAGAAGCTAGAGACAGAAGAGATGAAGTCCCGTTATGAGCTCTCAGGTTTAAGACAGGAAATGCTGATTATATCCAAAGCCACCCATCACTCCACGCCTCATTAGGGATTTAGAAAATGCACTATTTAATCAGGGTCAGTCAGGCACTGAAGGTTTTACGATCCTTGTGGGAAAACCTGGCAGCCCGTGGTCACAGTGCCACCTGGAGACAGCATGTGGAATTACATGCTTTCTGTCCCAAGCCTGGTCAGAATTCATTTTGCAAAATGCATTTCCTGTTGAGTCATTGAAGTCCCACTTCCTAATTGTTTCTCTGCCGACTTCCTGCTTTGATTAAATCAGTACTTGTTTTCTGTTTAAAATTTCTGTCCTGCTTTACATTCAAATAGCCAAGTTCAATGTGGAACTGTTTTACTGATCACAAACCCTTGAATAAAAACAGGGGAAAGCAAACAGATAACACTAGAGGGTAGCAGACACCCACACTCCAGGAGAGGGGGCCACAGGCCAGAAGTCTGTTCTGTTCAGTCTGTTCTGTTTGGAGGAGAGAACCCTGGTCTGGGTGAGGGGTGGAAAGGAGCAAGGTCGGTCCCCTTTGCCTTCCCGTGCTGGTTCACATCTGCCTTAAAACCTGCTGTATGATGAAGCGTTCAGGGGAAATTAGGTGGTTTCTTAAACCCTCAGCAGGCAGGTTTATGAATAATCCCATAATTCACCACTTTCCTACAGCCCTCAGACTGGCGCCCTTTTTGTTCTGATTCTTTGCAGGACAACAGAACCGAGCTGAGCCTTAACCACTCCCAATCCAGACTCTGCCTCCACTAAGCAATTGAAAACAGACAGTTGTTTGTCTCCTCCTTAAAAATCCCCAACAAAGGAAAACTCTGTTTCTCACTTGTTCCACTGTTGAGCATGATTTTTTCCACTGGCAAGTTCTAAATTTGTTATGAACTAGTTCCATAAACTCTGTTATGGTAGAAGATTTACTTAATCTTCATACAGAAGACAATAATTGTTTTAATTTTTAACCTTTTCACAAGCTTAAATGTTATTTAATATCTGGTTTTAACAGCTTTATTGAGATTTAATTCACATATAGCTCACCCATTTAAAGTGTACAATTCAGTGGTCTTTAGTATATTCACAGATAATGTGCCACTCTCACCACAGACAATTTTAGAATGTTTTCAGCACCTCAGAAAGAAACCCCACGTTCTCAGCTGTTGCACACGCACACACCCAGCACTGAGCAACCACTAATATGCTTTCTGCCTCCATCGATTTTCCTTTCTGGACGTCTCATATGCACGAATCCTACAATATGCGGATTGTCATCACTGGCTTCTTAACCTAACATTGTCAAGTTTCATCCACATTGTAGCATCTGTCAATGCGTGCATGCTCAGTCGTGTCCGACTCTGCAATCCCATGGACTGAAACCTGGCAGGTTCCTCTGTCCATGGGATTTTTCCAGATAAAATTACTGGAGTGAGTTGCCGTTTCCTCCTCCAGGGAATCTTCCCCACCCAGGGATCAAACCTGCATCGACAGGAGAATTCTTTCCCACTGAGCCGCCAGGGAAGCCCAGTGTGTTAGAACTTCACCCCTTTCTTTGGTCATATGTTCCTTTGTGTTTCGTATTTCTTGCATTCATTTATCAGTTGCTGGACATTTGGGTTGTTTCCACCTCTTGGCTATGATGAATAATAATAGGTTTATGGTGCAAAACATATATTTTCCTTTTTCTTGAGTATATACTTAGAAGTGGAATTGCTGGGTCATAGAGTAACTTTGTGCTTGATCATTTGATGAATTTCTAAACTGTTGCCCAAAGCTGCTGCACTATTTTTCATTCTAGCCAGCAGTGTATGAGGGCTCTGAATTCTCTACATTCTCCCCAATACTTGTTGCTATCTGTCTTTTTGATTCCAAACTTCTAGTGGGTATGAAGTGATATGTTATTGTGGTTTTGATTTGTATTTCCCTGGTGGCTGATGATATTGAGCAGCTCTTCATGTGCTTTTTTGCCATTTGTATATCTTCCTTGAAGAAATATCTAGATTTCTTGCTCATTTTAAAAAATGGGATTATTTTTTCTTTTCTTATTGAGTTCTTTATATGGTCTAGATAAAAGTCGTTTTTCAGATATTTGACATAAATTGTTTTCTCTCATTTTGTGGGTTGTCTTGTCCCTTTCTTGATAGTATTCTTTGAAACACAAAAGTTTTTCACTTTGATGAAGTCCAGTTAAGGTTTTACTTTTGTAAGAAGATTTCTTCAGTACGTGTTACAAAACTATTAGGTATCTTTTTTATTTTCCTAATGTAAAATTATAGAAAATATGTTTGAAAAACTATGCCACCTCCCAAGAACTTTTGGTGGATAGAGTTTGCTTTCCTCTCAAGACTATGGGCTTACCTAGCGGTTCACCCCAGTGCTTCTTTTCATGGTGCTTGCTTCAGTCATTTTTTATTTTTATTTCAATTTTTTGGTATGCTTCTAACTGGAGAGTTTTTAACTTAACAGGGAATATAAAATAAAATCTCCACTAAGAGTAAATAAAAGCCAGAGAGGTCTAATATTTTTAGAGCTTATGGATATTTTGCTCTTTGCTATCCTACTCCATTTGAAAAACAGCTGTTCGTGTTTCACCACATTCTGCCTTTCATCCAGAGACCACTGTGCGTTCTGTTTACGCTCAGCAAGGTTTCACACAGGATGGTCACAGTAAATGTGATAACAAAAGCCGACTACTTTAATGTGGATCACCTTTCTTCCTCTTCCAACAGGTATGGCAGATCCCAGAAAATGGACTCACCCTTTCCCTGACCGAGCCCGTGGTCATCTTAGAAGGCCACTCAAAGAGAGTTGGCATCGTAGCCTGGCACCCGACGGCCCGCAACGTGCTTCTCAGTGCAGGTAGGAACTGAGCAGCCTCTGCTTTCCCCTTCTCCTCATTCCCCACGGCCCCGTGTAGAGGGAGCAACAGACTCATTCTGACTGTGCTGGCAGCTGTGAAATCAGAAGAACCCAGGGTGGGGTGCAGGTGTCTCCCAACCCATGTGTGTGTGCGCGCACGTGTGTGTGTGTGTTGAGGCAGCTGGGGCAGATCCAGTGGAAACTGTGGACTTCTTGTCTAGAAGCAGGAACAGGCACGTACTTACTTAGTGTATCTAGCACTTTGTGAGTCTAGTGAATCTCAGCAGAGTCTCGGTTCCCGCCGGGGCTTCCACAGCCCTCAGTTGTAGTTACTCCTGATGTGGTAGAAGGAGCAGGAGCCCAACTGGGAGTCAGGAACTCCGGTATTGCTGCCAATGTTGGGGTGATCTTGTTAGTTAAATATGCTCTTTCCTTTTAAAAATACTTCCATTTTTCTCCTTGTAGTCCACGTATATTATAGAGAATACATATAAACAAAAAGGAGAAAATAAAAATCACTCACAACCCCATCACCTAGAGGAAACATCATCATTACCCCATTTTGATGTTTCTGTGCGCATAAACGATTTTACACACAAAGGCGGGTTCAACCTCTTTCACGCGACCTGCTTTCTGCCCCTGCTGGTACCCTGTGGCCCTTTTCACACGTACTGTGTGATATTTTTAATGACTCCATTAATAGGCCATTGTCTGGGTACCTCTGTTGATTTAGTTCGCCCTCTGTTTTTGGACATTGAGGTTGTTTCTGCTTTTTCACTGTTAAATAGCACTGCAGTGAACCCTTGTGACCAAGTCCTTGTTGTTCCCTATTGCTTTCCCACTTGTATAGTTTCCAAGTTTCATCTTAAAGAAATCTTTTTCTTTGTTCAAAAATATGAGCGTTTCTCTGCTATCATAGAAGCAATACAAAGGACAGGAAGGAGCTTTGTGGGGTAATGGAAATGTTCTAGATCTCGATTGTGATAGAGGGTAGATGAGTATGTATGTCTGTCAAAACTCAACCAATATATACTTAAAATGGGTGCCTTGTATGCAAACTGTACCTTAAAAAAATTGACTTATTAAAAATGCAGTGCTAATGTTAGTGGTAGAATTTTAAAGTCTTTCACTTTACCAGTAAAAAGGAGGAGAGAAGTCCAGTTTTTAACTAGGAATGAAAGGTATTTGTGATGTAGTGAATTAATTTAAAAATCTAATACCTGGTACCTATTGAAACCAAGAACTACTTTAAAAAAAAAAAAGAAAAGTAAGATTCTCTTTTTTTAACTCACAATTGACTATAACTGGGAACCCTTCAAGTGTTTTACTCAGAACCTCAGTCTGATAAGGAGAGAAAACAATTCCAAAGGTGGGATTCCATCATGGAAAATACCCTACTGTGGGCTTTGTCGAGGTCAGACCTAGGGTATCATCGGCAGACCCAGCCCAGTCTCCCTTGTACAAGCTGAGAATGGTTGATTGCAGCGCTGTGCATATTTTAAGACTATATGATCCATCCACAGTGGCTGGAGTTATTATTTGCCTGTGATGAAGAAGGAGGAGGATGGGTCAAGTCTCCATCCCAGAATTTAGTTCCAACTCTTCATACTGTTGTGCAGCTTTTCCACCCATTTCCTACTTCTAAAGAGATGGGAATACCAGACCACCTAACCTGCCTCTTGAGAAACCTGTATGCAGGTCAGGAAGCAGCAGTTAGAACTGGACATGGAACAACAGACTGGTTCCAAATAGGAAAAGGAGTACATGAAGGCTGTATATTGTCACGTTGCTTATTTAACTTATATGCAGAGTACGTCATGAGAAATGCTGGGCTGGAGGAAGCACAAACTGGAATCAAGATTGCCAGGAGAAATATCAGTAACCTCAGATATGCAGATAATACCATCCTTATGGCAGAAAGTGAAGAAGAACTAAAGAGCCTCTTGATGAAAGTAAAAGAGAAGAGTGAAAAGGTTTGCTTAAAGTTCAGCATGCAGAAAACTAAGATCATGGCATCCAGTCCCATCACTTCATGGCAAGTAGATGGGGAAACAGTGGCTGACTTTATTTTGGGGGGCTTCAAAATCACTGCAGATGGTGATTGCAGCCATGAAATTAAAAGACACTTACTCCTTGGAAGGAAAATTATGATCAACCTAGACAGCATATTACAAAGCAGAGACATTACTTTGTCAAGAAAGGTCCGTCTAGTCAAGGCTATGGTTTTTCCAGTAGTCATGTATGGATGTGAGAGTTGGACTATAAAGAAGGCTGAGCACCGAAGAGTTGATGCTTTTGAACTGTGGTGTTGGAAGAGTCCCTTGGAATGTAAGGAGATCCAACCAGTCCATCCTAAAGGAGATCAGTCCTGGGTGTTCACTGGAAGGACTGATGTTGAAGCTGAAACTCCAGTATTTTGGCCACCTGATGCGAAAAACTGACTCATTTGAAAAGACCCTGATGCTGGGAAAGATTGAGGGCAGGAGGAGAAGGGGACGACAGAGGATGAGATGGTTGGATGGCATCACTGACTCAATGGACATGGGTTTGGGTAGACTCCGGGAGTTGGTGATGGACAGGGAGGCCTGGCGTGCACGACTGAGCGACTGAACTGACTGAACCCTTAGGTAACTTAGGTGTCCTGGTTATCGGTAGCTAATTTTTCTAAGTGTTTGCAGAATTGGCTTGTTGACAAGAGTCTCACTTTCAGGATGTCCATCCTTTATGTTGCTTCCTCCTTGTGCTAATGTCCTGGAAGCAGCAAACGGTGCCTCTTTTTAAAGGGGCTTTGGGGACAGGGCGCTGACCATGGAGGGAAGATAAGTTGATGAGCCGAGGGGCTCTGGCTCCGTTGACCTGTGGCCTCATTGGGGGTCAGGTTCTGAATTTACGTGCCTATTTGATGGCAGTTTGTGCTTCTCAACCAGGCCAGCCTTGGCCTATTTTTCTCTCCTTTTTGAAGATAAAAATCTGCTATGAGCAGATGGCTGGGCATTTCCCTTCACTTATTGTAATTTACATGCTTTGGTCCAAGACTGTGTCTTACAGCACCATTGATTGCAGTAACCTCCTATCTAGTCTTTGTCTTGAGCCTCCTAAACCGTTATTTAAACCCTTTATTTTTAGTTTCTCTGGAAAAGAAAGAAGCTGTATTCATTCTGATGCATGTTTTACTAGAAAAGGAAACTTATCGTCACTCAAGGTCCACCAACCCCGTTAACTCTATTTAAAAAAAAAAATAGGATTCTATTTTCCTGCAGTTCTTTATTTTTGTTTGGTGTTCTTGTTTGTTTCACATGAACCCAGACTTAACAAGCTGTATTTTTCCTTTACCATGTTTGTTTTACACAATCTTTTTCTTTTGGTCATCTCAGGTTTTGACTCCTGGCAAGTAGGGCTTCTTATAATCAGCATCTCCACTTCAATACATGTGTATATTTATCCTCCCTATGCTTATGGTTTTCACAGATGTGTTGTTCTGCAGGCGTTTCTCATCCCTGAGGGTGTGGTTCTGCTTGCTTGCAGGCTGTGATAATGCCATCATCATCTGGAACGTGGGGACCGGGGAAGCCCTGATAAACTTGGATGACATGCATTCAGACATGATTTACAATGTCAGCTGGAACCGGAATGGTAGTCTGATCTGCACAGCCTCCAAAGACAAGAAAGTGAGAGTAATCGATCCGAGGAAACAGGAGATTGTTGCTGTAAGTATTCTTAGGACAACAGCCGCAGTCTTTGTAGTGCTCCAGTGGGTGAGAGCTTTCTGCTTTTTAACGCAGATCAGAGAGGCTGGGCTGCCAGTCCATGGGCCCTTGCTGTGTACAGAGACCCAACTGTGAATCAGAAAAGGCTTGTCTGGGCTTCTGTCTCCCACTTGCCTTTTTCTTCAGAGCTGTGCATGTGCAGCTTTTACCCAAGCCTTCCTGGTAAGACTTCCCTGGAGGCTCAGATGGTAAAGCATCTGCCTACAATGTGGGAGACCTGGGTTCAATCCCTGGGTCAGGAAGATCTCCTGGAGAAGGAAATGGCAACTCACTCCAGTATTCTAGCCTGGAAAATCCCATGGACGGAGGAGGCTGATAGGCTGCAGTCCATGGGGTCGCAAAGAGTCGGACACGACTGAGCGACTTCAGTTTCTTTCTTTCCCTTTCTCCCTCTCAGTTGGCAACCATTTCTCACAGAGAGACAAATTTTTTTATCAGTGTGCTTAAGAATTTGCAAGTCTAGGGCTTCCCTGGTGGCTCCGTGGTGAAGAATCCACCTGCCAGTGCAGGAGACATGGGCTCAGTCCCTGATCTGGGAGGGTCAGCGAAGCCCGCTCACGACCGCTATGGAGCCCGAGCTCTAGAGCCTGAGACCGCAACCATTGAAGCCCAAACACCCAAGAGCCCGTGCTTCACAACCAGAGAACCCACCGCAGTGAGGAACCTGCTCACGGCAACGAGAGAGTAGCCTCCACTCACCACAACCAGAGAAAGCCCACACGCAACAACAGAGCCTAGCATGACCAAAAATAATAAGTAATAAGTAAATAAAATTTAAAAATTAAGTTGTGAAGATACAATGTCACCCTTAAAAAAAAGGCTTGGCAAGTCTAGATCAGCTAACCCGCAGAGTTTAATTGCACGCTGGCCTAGGACTACAGGTAGCCCAGTGGATGCCCTCTCCTGCTCCTCGGTTGTTAAAGGGCCTGATGACGCCGAGCATTCTTTCCAGCATAACATCCTTGGTCCTGCCCTCTGAGCTAGGCCTCCACAAAATCACACATTATAACAAAGATGGACAGTCAGGCCTTTAGTCACTTCTCCCCAACTCTGTGCCCCGTCACAGGCCTTCTCTGAGAAGGTAGCTCTTGGCTGGCATTGCTTTCTATGAATCAGGCGACAGGCATGGCTGGTGTTTATCAAGGCCCTGTGCGTGTGGTTTCTCCACTAGAACATTCCATAAGGCAGAGCTGATGGGCTCCCATTGAACAGATGAGGCCAAGGAAGGGGTTAACCAGACTCGACTTCCTGTCCCATGAAATTGCTGGATGCCATAGCATATATCCACCTTTAGGTTATTATCATGCTTTTGAGAAACAAATGTTTGGCAGAGCCCTTTCACATGTTTTGCAGAGGCTGGACTGGAGTTGGTGGCAGGGGCTGGTGGAAGGGTTGAGGCCTTTCAGTCCAGGCCTGGCATGCTTGCTTGCTCGCCAGCTGAGAGGCCTTGGCCAGATCCCTCAGTGTCTGTTTCCTCCTCCTTCAGGGAGGGAGGTGGTCAGTACTGACATGCATGTGCGCACACACAGTTACACCTTTGATGTGAGTGGCATGTGGGGTGTAGCTGGGTTCACTGAGCCCCCGCCGCACCTCACTTTTCCTTCCTGCGGTCTGGTCTGACTGTGTATAAAATGCCTCTTTGCTTTCTCACCCAGGAGAAGGAGAAAGCACATGAAGGGGCCCGACCCATGAGAGCCATCTTCCTGGCCGACGGCAACGTCTTCACCACTGGCTTCAGTCGAATGAGCGAGCGGCAGCTGGCTCTCTGGAACCCGGTATGTGCCTTCATGGCCCTGCCACCCCTTCGCAGCCTCAAGCTTTCCCTTTTCTGAGCACGCCTTGAGGTGGGTTAGTAGATGTTAGGGTTCTCAGTGTCATATGCTGAATTCCTGCTCATCTTAAATTGGATGTGAAGTCCTCATCCTCACTGGAGACTTACTGCTGAGTGTGTTTTAAAAAGACATTCTTGGTACTCCCAAGGAGTCCATGTTGACTGTTGTTTTTTGAAAGAATGCATGAAGAATCCAGTGTTTTAGACTTGGGAAATAAGTTGTAAACTTAGTTAAAATGTTTCCTAAAGAACGTGATCAAATGTCTAAATCACAATAGTCATGCTTGGGAAAATGTTCATGACAGCACAAGTGGGAAAAAAGTACTGAACTGCATATATGGTATGATCCCACTCTGTGTGTGCTTATGTGCTGGAGGGAAGTAGGCCAAAGCAGTCATTGCCCCGCACTGGACTGTGGGATTATGGCATATGCGATGATTTTTGTATTTTTCCTGTACCTTTTAACTTTCTAAAGAATGTGAGTTTTTTTTTTAATAAGAAAAAAGTACTTTTAAAAAGGAAGTAGTCACAGAAGAGATGGACTCTCTCATCTCTTATGGGATCACACTGATGGGTGCATTAATTATGCAGTCAAGTCAACACACTTTTCAGTGAGCTGGATCTCATGTACTATTCTTACTGGTAATTACATGTATGAATATTACATGTATGTTTAAACTTTCATTATTTTAGGGAAATGGCTAACTTAGAGATGAAAGAATGTACTGTCTTATGAAAATTCATCTTTTAAAATGTGTGTGTATGTACGTGTGTTTGTGTGTGTATACATATATGTGTGTGTAAATATATATACTTCCAGAAAAATATGGAGGAACCAATTGCTCTTCATGAAATGGACACTAGCAATGGGGTTTTGCTGCCTTTCTACGACCCCGACACCAGTATTATTTACTTGTGTGGAAAGGTAAGCAGTAACTTTTCTGTTTGATCTTAAATTTAATTCTGTGAGAAGAAAAGTTTATCCTTCAGAGCTTTAGTAGATGGGCAATCGTATAGAGAATAACGCTTTGTGGATATGAGCTTTTGAGGGCCTCAGAGACTCTCCAGAGGGTTCTCACTCCTGGAGTTCTGTGTTAAGGGCCAGGCTGTGGATTATGTGGCCCAACTCAAGTGTCAGAATATGACAGTCGTTACAGGAAGACCCCACACAAAACCCCTTTCTGCTGCCTGATGATCTCTGCCTAACTAAAGTGCTGGTAGCTTTATCTTCATTACTGTTACATCATTTTAGAAGGTGGTGACCTCAGCATCCCTTCTTTTTTTGTAGGTTCAATAATCATGTAGAATTTTTGTAGTTGAAATAATTGAATTAATAAAAATAGATCTGTTGATGTGTTCCCTTCCCTGAACCTGTCAGATAATCCCTTGCTGGGTGAAGCTGAGGGTCTTATTATTACTTCTGTTCACAACTGATGGAGTGAGCTGCAGACCTGCTTGAGATTTTTATAGGTCAGTTACTTAGAAACTGAGATCTTGTCTGTTTCCTTGAAAGTCGTACTTGCAATGTTAACAGCAGCCATAGACCACATCGTCAGCCAGATGTTACTAGCACTGGGTGGAAAGTTACTGTGAGTATGTAGAAAGCAGTGTGTGATTAGCTTGTCTTCATTGCTTTAGACAGTTACATCCCTGAAACAGATGGAGATCATGGGAAAGGAGAGGAGGGTGGAGTACCGCCCAGCTCTTTATCACTTCTTCCATAGGCCTCTTCTCTCCCCTCTGCCTGGCAGGACTGCCTTCGTTCTCAGTTTCTTGTAACTGCATGATAGTTATTTACACTCAGGCTAGTATATTCAGGTCTTCAGAAAACTCTGACCTTCTACGCAGTGATCACAGAACCTAACACATTGCAGTGATACAGCATTCCAATGTGAAGTTAAAGGGTGCTTGCTGAAACTAATGTTTCTTCATTAGAAGTCTTACTTCTTATTCTGTTGTCTGGTGTTGTGCCCTCAGACCTGTGCCATGAAGGAATGTTAAAATCATCCCTTTGGGCGATGAGCCTTTCCTCCCCGACTCTGCCTCGGTGTCAGACGCAGCGCAGGACAGTCAGAGCCCTCAAACAGAGGCCCTTTAGAGGGCATGCTAGCCTTGCACAAGCGCGGGGTTGCTCCGCCCGGAAGTGAAGCCATCAGAGGCTAAGCCTCGTGAGAGGAGGAAAAGGTCCACACTGCAGCGGAGTCCCAGTCAGCGCTGAGTTCAGGGAGGAGTGGGACGCCCACCTACACCAGGTGTTTTGGCTCACATCTCCCGTTTCTTGCAGGGCGACAGCAGTATCCGCTACTTCGAGATCACAGACGAATCCCCTTATGTCCACTACCTCAACACCTTCAGCAGCAAGGAGCCTCAGAGGGGAATGGGTTACATGCCTAAGAGGGGACTCGATGTCAACAAATGTGAGATTGCCAGGTAAAGAATTGGTATCGGAAAGTGTTTAGAAGGCTTACGCCGTCTGTGTTCTATGAGAGCACGTGATTCTGCTGTGCCCAGTCTTTCTACCTGTGTGTGTGCAGTAGAATTGTAGAACTAGTGTCTCATTTCCTTCTTAGAAACATGGGGCTTGAGAGCAAGAATGAACCATTCAAAATCATTTAATCCAACTGTGCCCTCCCCGTCCTCCAGATTATAAATTTGAAATACAGCTAAGTAGCTTCGCTGAGGTGACTCACACCCTGATTTAGTGAAATCTTCGTCTCTTGTCTTCAGGCTGCAGCTGTGGCCAGTGTCCCCTGGGAGGCAACCAGGGAGCCTGTCCCCAGGATGGAACTGAGGGATGGTTTTCCTGCCCTGTGAGGGGACCTGCCAGGTTCCTAACTGGCTCATGGACCCTGTGGATCTGAAATTAGAGAAGCAGCGATCCATAGCGGGTGTTAGGTTAGTTGGCTTAGGAAGCTCATCTGTGCTGTGTAACGTCTGCCTCTCTCTGCTACTCTGTGGAGTTTTTAAAAATGCATATTCCATGATGCTAGTGACTTTCCTAAGGGGCAGGCTTTTTTTTCAGTACCAACCGACTGCTGGCCATTTTAAACAACAAAATAACTAGCACAACATTGTCAAGCACATGATCATACCACGCATCTTTATAACACTGCTTTCATGGACATTTTTCTAAGTGTGCTCAGCTGGTCACACAGATAATTGACACATCTTTAAAAATAAAAGAAATTTTTATGGGCCCATTTTTATATAATCACTGCAGGTTTTTTTTTTTTAAATACTTCAACTCTATAGCTAGAATAATGAAAGGAAGCTGTCACAGATACTTCTAAATTGTGGTTTAAAACAATCAAAATGTGGTTTAAGGACTTCCCCAGTGGTTAAAACTCTGTGCTTCTACTGCAGGAACCATGAGTTCGATCCCTGGCCAGGGAAGTAGGCATGCTGTACAGGGCAACCAGAAGCAAAACGTGGTTCAAAACAGACTGATTCTGAGCTTTAAAATTACATTCAGGGTTTGGGAACAGGTTTACTCTACTGTCATCTAAAAGTTTGAAGAGACCATAGTCAGCCCTTGGAACTTGCGAGTTCTGAATCCATGGATTGAAAATACTGAGGGGAAAAAGTTCCAGAGAGTTCCAGAAAGCAAAACTTGAATCTGTGGAACATGGGACACAATTTACATAGCATTTATGCTGTGTTCACAACTGTTTACCTAGCATTTACGTCATCCTAGGCGTCATAAGTCATCTAGAATGATTTAGACTGTAAAGCGCTGCACCGTTTTTTGTAAGGGACTTGAGAGCATCCTCAGATTTCCGTGTTTTGGGGTGTCCTGGACCCATCCCCCGTGGATACTGAGGAGTGACCGTTTAAGCGGGTCAGTCAGGACGCCTCCTGTTGACTCTGTTTCTGGGTGTTGGTGATATGTGGGGCACTGTATTAACCACATGGCCCAGATCCCCTTTCCATGCGCGAGATGGGTGCTACCGCACCCCCTTCATGAATGAGGAGCTCAAGGCTGGCTGAGGTGGACATAAGCCCTGGCGTGGGAGTGGAGCTGGCCATCCAGCTTAGACCCGTCTTCCCACTGCTGAGCGACTGCACAGGTTTGGGGCTTGCTGTTCCTACTCTTCTCATGCTCTGAATAATTCCAGAGTTTTCTTGAGTGTTAACCCCTGATGTGGTTTGCTCAGATGCCAACATTTAATTCCTAGGATTGTTCTCATTTCCTTTTTAAAAACCCTGTTTATACTTAGGAATGTTCAACTACCTCATGTTGGCGGGAGACCTGGCATCCAGGTCGTAGATACTCTCTGAGAGGTGGGTGTTCTTGCCTCCTGGCTGTCGACGCGGTAATTCTCTCACAGGCGGTTCCTATTGGTGATGTTAATCATCTCCCCACGGCTCATCAGCCCCCCGATAGTTGGAACTTGACTGTCACCATAATGCATAGGCCTCTGCTCCTGGTTCACGTCCCTGTCCGCCGTTTCCCGGCATAGCTCCTCTCACTTCCTCTTCCTCCTCTGTGAATGGGAACTCTTGAGTTCTCCCTGCTCCCCAGGATCTGTCAGATGAGGCGATGGGCAAACGCAGCATGTACAAGAATGCTTGCTAAGCCTGTTACTTGGCCTGTTTCACTTAATACAACTTTGCCTTTATCTCTCCTTTGAAGATTCTTCAAACTTCACGAGAGAAAGTGTGAACCTATTATCATGACTGTCCCCAGGAAGGTAAGTGCCCAGCTGTCTAGGTGATCTGTGTTTATAAAGAATTTTAAGCATTCCACACCTTTCTTCCTCACCTGTGAGTTTCTCTTCTGTGTCCCATGTAGTCTGACCTTTTCCAAGATGACCTGTACCCCGACACGGCAGGGCCTGAGGCAGCCCTGGAGGCAGAAGAGTGGTTTGAGGGGAAGAATGCCGATCCACTCCTCATCTCGCTGAAGCACGGATACATCCCTGGCAAAAACAGGGACCTCAAGGTGGTCAAGAAGAACATTCTGGACAGCAAGCCCACGGCAAACAAGAAGTGCGACCTGATCAGCATCCCCAAGAAGACCGCAGATGCTGCCAGCGGGGTAAGGACCGCCGGGCCTAGGGGAGTGGGCTGGCCCGGCCTGCTCCTCCAGAGGCGCCTGCCAGCCCTGGGCGTCTGCAAGCACTGTCCCCACCGGCCAGGCGGGCTCCAGCCATGATAACAGGCACTGTCTGTAGGAACTACCTTGGCCACATGGCATTTATGGGTTTGATTCCTTTAGTTCTGTTTTTTATGATGACTGGGATAGAAGTCAGCCTGTTACTGATGCTGGGAAGAGGAGGTCCTGGAAGGGAAGAGTGGTGAGAGAGTGTAGAAGTTGCCGAGTGTTTGAGTGATGGACGGATCTGGAGTGAGTGGGACTCAGAGGCTGAGATGACCCTGGGTGTCTTAATGAGAGTCATGTCAGGAGCAGAGGCTGGCAGTGAAGACCCATGTGGGGAGGGCAGGGGCCAGCCAGGGAGGGGAGAGGGCGGGGCACCGGCAGTCTGCGGAAGGGAGTTCTGGGGGCCAGGAGGGCTGAGCGTTGTCGATGATGAGAGGAGCGGCAAGCAGAGGACAGGTGCCCTCAGGCTGTGGCCAGGGAGGCTCCTTGAGGCCCCATGACTTTGGAGACAGCAGGGTTTCCTCCCAAAGAATCAGCTCCACGAGGGAGAAGCTCAGGCTCTTAGAGGAGCTACAGGGCAGGGGGTGTAGTTCCCAGGAAGGACCTTCTCCAGGAGTTGATGGGTGCTCGGCAGCCTCTAGAAGATCACCCTCACCCTGGCCACATAGAGGGTGTTCCTGCTTGAGGAGGGTGATGGGGGTGTTTGAAATGTGGGGCAGCCTTGCAGGGTTCAGTCTCCTCCTACAGCTTAACTGTATCCCAAGAGTCCATCCAGGTAGGTGCACAGGTGAGGGGCCGGGAGCCGTGATGCACAGTTGCTTTGCTGTGGGGTCCGGGGAACTGGCCAGCGTTCATTGCGTTCCTACGAGGCCTTAGCCTGCGACCTGCTACTTCCAAGTAGAACAACCCATTTATGCCCCGTACGTGCTACCTGTGCTGAACTTCGCTGCCTTTAGTCACCCTCTTCCCTCCCCCCTTTTTTGTTTCCTTAGCAAAATGAAGCCAAGTTGGATGAGATTTTAAAAGAGATCAAATCTATAAAAGACACAATCTGCAATCAAGATGAGCGTATTTCCAAGTTAGAACAGCAGATGGCGAAGATAGCGGCTTGAAGGCCCACCCCACCCCAAGATGGGAGCAGGAAGGCGTGGTCCCGGGGAGGGCGAAGGGAGGCACTGCCTTTGGAGACATTCCATTTCAGATCTGTGGACCAGTGATAGGCCACATTCCAGTAAGAACTCAATTCGTCTCCCAAATTTGCAGAAACAAAATGTGATTTAAAAGCTGAGCTTTTTACCAGAAAACTTTTTTTGATGTTCTAAGTGTTATGTGTCTTGTGAACTTCTAAAAGACAAAAGTGCTACTTTGAAAATCCCAGATATTCTGAATTTTAGAAACCCAACCAATTCTGATTCAGTGTCCTGCCCAAGTACCTTTTTTTTCCTTTCTATTTTTTTTTTTTTTTTTACAAACAGGGACCAATGCCACATTGCTTTTTGTATTTCTTTTTTTTTTAATGTTGCCAAAACCAAAAGTAGCTTTTTTTTTCTTTGTATTTTGCTACTTTGCAGTATTTGTGTGTGGGTTTTTTTTTTTCCTTTAATTTGAAAGGGACAGCACTGTGTATGTTTATAAACTAAATGAAGATAAAATATTATTTTGTATAAACATTCATCTGAGAACAATCAGAGCCGTAGCCACACGGTGCTGACTTCTCTGCAGCACAAACCTGGTCATCTTAATGACTGTATAAAAGGAAGACTTGAAAAATCACGTGGATTCATATTCCCACCCTTCCCCTCCCATTGAGTCTTCTGATCAAAAAAAAAAAAAAAAAGGCTCATATTGAATCATTTTCTTTCTCTTTTCTAGAAATTGGGTGGTTGTACCAGAATGGAATTTTGCTTCTTGGTTATCCTGTGCTTCAGATGATTATAATCTAACCTAAACTCGCATGTGTTTCTGCGGTTTTGTTACACACATAGAATCTGTTGCCTTCATCCCTTTTGATGTCATATTTCAGGTTTGGGTCAATACTTGACAAGGGTGTCCCGGACGAGGAGCCACACACGCTGTGGAGTGTTCCTTCTTGTCATTTTCAGCAGCTTACCCAAGGTTAGGCGGGACACAGACCAGGGAACCTGTAGGGGAGCGTTTGCCCCGCGTGTCGCCCTGCCTGATTCTCTGCTTTCCCGCTCGTCCTGTGCTGGACAGCTTACCCCCCACCCTCTGCCCCCCGCCAGCATCACTGGAGCTCCTGCCCTTCCTTTCTCCCTTCTTCTGTATGTAGCTCTCCCTCTCAGGGCTTCCCTCTTGCGTTTCGGTCCTAACTGCATTCTGCTAAGTGGAGGCCAGAGGGTGCTGTTGAACACCAAGACTGAGAAGGGCCAAGAAGGAAGCAGACATCTGCTGTAGCTTTGGTGGTGTCACTTGTCCCTCTGCACCCTCTACACAGACTCACCCGCGCACCCTGCAGCGGCTCCGAGGCTGGGTCCAAACCCAGAGGCTGCCTAGTCCCAGGCCAGACATTGAGCTCCCAGGCCTGCCCCGCTCCTGGGTTAGCAGGAACCTCTCTCCATTTCTATTTTCTCAGAGCGCATGCCTGAGGGAAAAAAGGTGTAAGGAGCCCTTTTGGAAGAGCTGAGTGATGGAATAGGAATCATGTCATGCCTTTGGGGCCACGGCGGGGACGCTTGCATGCACGCCTTCGGGTGTGGGGCTGGGACGGGACTGGCTGGAATTGTCTGTGAGCAGGGGGCCAGGCTGAGGCAGAGTGTGGCGTCGGTGGGTTGGGATACATGTCCGAGCTGTCCATGTGTCCATGTAGAAAAGGTACCATGTTCTTAGCCAACCCTGGGATTGCTGTCTCCACAGTTTCAGGGTATTTGAATGTTTGGTGTGGTTTTGTGTGTACATGTGTGTACGTGTGTGCTTTAAATACTCAAGTGGATGATGAGATATAAAGAAAACAATAATTACAGTGGTTTATATTCAAGCCTGTATGTGTTTCTTTATCAACACAATCTGCCGAAGACCGTCATTATTAAGATTCAGAAATGTTCTAAGGTTCTGATACCCAATTAATTAAGTGAGCAAAATTGGTGGTGGGGGTGAAACACCTTAGGGAATATGGTTTGGAGAGACGAGGAGGCAGGGGCCGGTTATTCTGACCTGAGTGTGTAGCTTATGGCTTATTTAATGAACAGATTCCCCGCCAGGCTCAGAGTTAGTGTCTGACGCTCTGTGGGCTATTTCTCTTGTTTTTTCTTTTTTCTTTTTTTTAAAATCTGAGCTATCCAAGAGAAGACCCAGTGAATTACTCCTAGATCGGCTCTTATAGAGCAGCCATCGTATTCTGTCGAAACACTTGCTTCCATTTTAAAAGATAAAAGAAAAAAAATTGATTACAAAACGGTGTCCGTGTTTATTTCACATGTCCGCTGTCTTTGAGGCAGTGAGTGCCTTACTGCCTGACACAGTGTCTCTGACTCAGTGGAGCCCCCCCACCTTTCTCGGAGGGTAAGTACGGGGCATGTATGGGTGGGCCCCCGGCTCTGGACATGGAGTGGGGTTCAGAACCCGCCTCCAGCCTTCCGCAGGGGTGGATCTGGGGCAGACTGCCTCGTCTTGTCGAGCCCCTTGTTGTGAAGGAGGGACGAGGGTTCGGGTGAGAGAAATAGCTGTGTCTGGTCACCCAAGGATCCCCTGCACAGCCACCAGTTTCTGTGATGAGCTGATTTCCTGGGAATCAGGGCTTAGGAAAGCATCTCTTTCTTCAGTAGAAGCACAATACCCTTGATTTAACTGTGATTGTTATTCCAACAAAAGGTTTTCAAGGTCATTTGAATTTCGTGGCCCTCTCTCAGCTCCCCTTTCTGCCCTGAAAGCACTATCCTGTGACATTTCAGTGATCATAGCAAAGAATTTCCCACTGTTTGGTTTCTCTAAATGTCTGTGACTGTGATGACTCATTGGCACTAAGCCTCTCCTCAAATTCCCTCTCCCAAAGTGGCTGTAGTCTGTGGGGAGAGCAGAGGCCAGGGCCGTGGTCTGCCCGTGCGTCCGTGTCTGCACAGATGGAAGTGGAGGTCGGCCGTGTCTGTCTGCAGCCCCCCAGCACCCCCGGTCAGGGTGCAGACTCGTGGTGCAGCGTGTTTCCGACTGGCTGGTTTTCTCCCCTCGGCCGCCTTGCTTCATTGCCAGAAGACCCAGGGTGTTAGCCCCAGACAGTCAGCCAGGCCCCGTCGAGGGAGAACTTCTGTTTTTCGAAAGTCTACTTCCCTTGCCACCATTCTCAGTGTTCTGTGTCCAGAGGAACTTCTGTTGGCACTTCAGAATCTTAACCCTGAGTGGCCCTTCTCTTTCTGCCAGCACATCTCCAGGTCCTAAAGCCATCATGGGGTCACAGACATGAGTCATGGTCAACGATACCCACCTTTCCTTCTGTGGGGGCTGAAAAGTTTTTCCTCCACTCCTGGAGACAGTGTATATAAACTGGCACTATTGCCGAGGGTAGGTTGATAGGGTATATCAGAAGCTTTCGATATTTTCACCTCTGGAAATTCTATCCCAAGGACGCTAGCGGGAGGCATGTTTGGGAATTAGAGGAGTAGGAATTACTTGAGCAGGGTGGGTTCATTATTAACCACCCCAGAACAGGTTGTTTTTGACAAACCCTCTTAAGAATATAGGGGCTTCCCTGGTAGCTGGTAGAGAATCTGCCTGCAATGTAGGAGATCCCAGTTTGATTCCTGAAATGGAAGGTCCCTGGAGAAGGGAATGGCTACCCACTCCAATATTCTTGCCTAGAGAATCCAATGGACAGAGGAGCCTGGTGGGCTACAGTCCACGGGGTCACAAAGAGTTGGACATGACTGAGTGACTAAGTACACAGCTTAGGGATACATGTATATATAACAAATATTTATATGTAGGATAAAGACCACAAATGTTGCTATGTAGGGTAGCAGTTGTGGGTAATTTTTCATTAACTGGATATTTTTTTCTGAATTTCTCAATTTCCTATAAGTGTCTTATTTCCCAGAAAGAAGTTAATAATGTACAAGTGATAAATTAATAGTTGGTTGAAGCAGGAGGCGTTGTCACTCAGTGGTGGGACATTGACGCCGCAGTGGGAGCAGGGAGGCCTCCCAGCAACACCAGTGTCCATGTGTCACGAGGTCAGTGGTTAAACAAAAGGAAACTTTTTTGAAAATGGGATAATTGCTTTACAATGTTATGTTGGTTTCTGCTGTTTAACAACACAAACCAGTCAGAACTATAGATGCAAATATAGATATACTGGAGTGGGTAGCCGTTTCCTTCTACAGGGGATGTTCCCGACCCAGGGGTCGAACCCGGGTCTCCTGCATTGAGAAAGCAAGCAGATTCTTTTCTGTCTGAGTCAACAGGGAAGCCCAGATAGAGGTCTATATATATTCCCTCCCTCCTGAGCCTCCCTCCCCGACATTCCACCACTCTAAGTCATCACAGGGCACCCGGCTGCTCTCCCCGGGCAATACAGTAATTTCCCACCAGCTATCTGTTTTACACATGGTAAGTATGTATACTTCAGTGCTACTCTCAATTCGTCCCACCCTCTCCTTCCCCCCACTATGTCCGTGAGATCTTTCTCTATGTCTGGGTCTCAGGAAACTTCTCTTTTCAAATTTAGAAGGAAAAAATAAATCCCTTCTTATCTAGACTTGAGAGTGGGTAAAAGATTTTAAATCCTAAAACAATAGAATGAATCCCAGAGGAAAAGATAGATTGGCTGCATAAAAAGCAAATTATATATTCAATACTTGGCATAAAAAAGGAAGGCCACGGAAAGTGGGAAATATGTTTTCAACCAACACGATACGGGGTAACATATTTTAATGTGCTTAATCTCAGTCCCAGCTGCCACCTCTGTTTGAACAGGGATGGTTCCACCTCCCCGGGGGGGATGTCCAATTTTATTAATAAGTCCAAGAGGGTTTTGATGCGCAGGTAGCAACAGTCTTCATCCCATCCCCTTCAATTTAGTCCACCACCTACTGGTTTAACACAGACCTAGAAGTGGAAGGGGTTTGTTAGGAGACGCTAGTCATAGAATATTTGTTTGAAGTTT